TTTCAAATGTTCTTTAAAAAATATGTACCAGTTGAACATAATCAATTTCTATTTTTTTTTTTACTCGGTTCTTAAGAATTAATAAACAACGTACTTTGCTGCTTTTATTAACTAATTTTTTATAAGATACAAAGACTCTTCGAGTGGAGCAATTTATCGTCGTGTTCTATATGTTATCCGCCAACGCGTAACTTATGGCAATTAAAATATGTCACGCGAGATTACTCCTGCATGTTTGACTATACTTTTTTAATCTCGTACAATGTTACTTCTGAAAATATTTTCATTTTGTCACATTATCTTGAATTTCGTTATAAAACAGATGGTTCATTTCAATTTAATTGTAACTATTTTTTATCCATTTAATTAATTATCAAGAAAAAACAAAAAAAAATTTCTAACTGATAAGGGGACAGACACGTATATATTTTAAGAATTATATTTTATATAAATATTTAAAAATAAAATGAGATAAAAATCATAAATATATCTACCTATCATAATAATGTTATGTCGGTAATTTGATGAACTCTGTTACCGACGAATTTATAATAATTTTCTTTGATATCAACTGACATTAATAGTATCTGTAAAAAAAAATTGTTAATGTATATTATACACTTATACAAAATCATATACTATTAAAACAATTTCAGGACAATCGTTAAAATATATAAAAAATATTCTTTGAAAAATTCCAATATCACGTAACGACATTACTATAGTTTACTATAATATCAACAATTTTATGCAAGAAATGCATATTATAAAGTCTCAATAACTTTGCACAATGTACAATCAACATAACGTTCCGATTTCGTCACAGAATCGCGTTTAGAGTATTGATAGGTATCGATCTGTGTCGAGTAATTGGACAGCGTCCATCGATCTCTAGATTTATTTACAATCGATTCTTAATTCGTATCTTCTAAACGAGATGAAAATCAAACGATTAAACAGATATCAAAACACAATTATTTCTTACATATTTTTATTTGAATTGTTATATAGTATCTATAATATAATGATATAATCTATCATTTTTAAAATTTTAGTTTTTATTATTATCATCATTATAATATTATAAATCTTTATAAATGTAATCTAATATAAAAACGGATATTAAAAATTTTATATTTCATTCAATGTTAATAATAAATTTCCCTATTTTTAATTTTGAAACGACGATTATTACGTCGTTCATTGTAAACCGACGTAAATTGATTTCAAGATGGTGGCTTCTCACAAGCGTCATTCAAATTAATCCTCGATTAATTCAATCTAGATTCCTGTGGAATATAATACGACGCTTAAATGTAAATCTGCGAAACTTAACAAGAAATTCATGGTCAACCAGAAGTACGCCACTTTCTAATATTTAACACATTTTATCTGTAAGTAAGGATAACATACATTCGTAAGTGCATAATGCATGGCGTCATATCATTTCGCGTTGGACAAAAATATAATTTAAAATTATTGTTTAATGATATTAAGTGAAAATCTTAAAAAAAAATCTAAACCAATATAAATAATACAAATAAGCCTGAACTGATTGATCAAATAAGAAATGTTACAGTATTTAATTTAACAATAATAAAAATCTTAAATTATCACGTCGATATATGTACATTATTAAAAAACTTATGCAATAAACAAAAATGGAAACTTCATCTTATATAACAATTGACGGAAAAGAACAATTATTGTGTAGGTATATAACGGAAAAAAACAATTAATGTGCATGTAATGTGCATATTAATATATTATTTTCTTTTTGTTTTCCTATTATTCATGATGAAAACGAAGTCACAAAATTAAATTAATAATCGCCATTTTTCGATATTTTTTTTTCAGTTATTATAAGAGATCATATCTTTGACTATGTTAATACATTTCGACAACACAATGTTAACATATTTGGTAACACGAACAAACATATTCCTACTAATTGCCTTGAGAATGTTCCATTTCGAAAATTATGGATATATCGATCCCTTATCTGTCAGATATGTAGGCGTATGAACTTGATACGTAAAATCCTCCTAACGTAAGTTACTATGCATATAATGTATTATCTGTATAAATAATGGCATAATAATACAAGCGAATGTTTGCTTCGATATATATTAAGTGCTTTTACCGATCAGTACTTCAATATGATATGCAAATCGTATTGACGTAATAACACTTTATTATAAATTATATAAAGTTTTTAAATAATTACTTAAAGTAAAAAAAAATTTCAATTGTCGATTATCTTTTTTTAAAAATTTAATTTATTTTTAATATACTTTCAAAAACATTTAAAAGAAAAAAACATTTAAATTAAAAAATAATTTATTCAAAAGAATAGTTAGAAACATGAAATTATAATTGTGATTTTTGTTAAATATATTTTTAATATAATCGTAAATTTATGAATCAATTTTTTAATCAATTTTTATTATTTCTGTATTTATTATCAATCATATTAAGAAATAAATGCTTTTATTTTATCATAAATCTTTACACCTGACTTACCTATGCTATTATATAGTAGTTAACGTCAGGCGATAAATGTTTCCTCAGGATCGTCAAATACCTACAAGATATTTTCAACGAATTTTCGCGTTTTGGAATCACTTAATAAAAAAGATGCAACATACAATCACAAAATCACAATCCGATAATTTCGCGAGGTTCGCGAATGGCTCTGATGCCATTCGTGCAACGAGAACTAATGGTTGCGAGATGATACCCGAATGATCGTTAAGGACAAACTTAATAATAGTAGCCGGATATTTACTATAGATCTCTACTCGTCCAATTGGCCGGTTAGAGATGAATTCATGACTGGCAGCTACTTTGTAAATATATGACGAGTATCGAGCCAAAATCATCATTTTGCGACCTGTATAAAAGATATACGAAATATATAAGTACTCATACAAATATAACAAACCTTATAAGTAAATAAATGTATATATTTTTGTATGTAATTATGTGGATGCAACCAATACACGCACAAGAAATTACACTGTTTATGGATCTGATCTCGTCATGCTTTTTAATCGACAATTAAGATTATACAATCTTCAAAATAATTTATCGTTTTAAATTTATGGTTGAATAATAATGAGAATATGAAATAGATGAAAATAAAGTAGGTGATTATAATGTTGATATGAAAATAAATGGAAAAGTTAAAAAAATTCTTTAACATACATCCTCATCAATGAAAATTAAATCTTCAAGATTAAAATTAATTTTCTATCAATGTGATTACAGAAACATTTTGGATATTACATAATTTCAAAATTTTATTAATTCGAAGATATGAAATAATTTTTCAAAATAATTTTTATAAACAGAATTTTAATGATATTATGTTATACTGATGACGTAAGTGGAGTGTTATGACACTAGAGGTTGTCGAACTCGATGCATCACTTTCCATCTGTATGTTACTTAACATTAGAAAATTGTCTATAATTTTCATGAAAATATATGTTACAAAAATTAATGAGACAAAACTTCGAAAAGAAAGTTTGTTATTTCTCGTTTTCATTAATTTATTAATATTAGAATTAATTATTTATTAAATATTTCTATTTATGAAAAAGTTTCTGACAAAAGCACTTAAGTTGAAATCGAATAGAAAGATTCAATATTGATAAACAATATCATAAATTATAGACATCGAAAAAAATAAAATAAATTATATCGTTTTGTAAACTTTGTAAGTATGTCAAATCGAATTTAAAGATTTTAGATTCCGTAAATGAATGATATGATCTTCATCTTTGATAAGATATTGCAAAACAAAACAATTCTTTCAATGTGGAATTTTAATGACTTCAGGAAATACAGTTGAACTTGCGGATGTTAAAAAATGTTGTTGCGAGTAATTTTAATTATAAGCATAATTTATTGTTATAAACTCAAAAAAGTTTTTATTGCATTAAGATTGATTGTTTTTTTCTTTACATATTATCAAAATATTTTTATAATCTTTTAATTATAAAGAACTGCTTTATGCAAATAATGAACAATTTTTATATATAAAAAAAAAATTACAAAAAAAATAATATTTATTATAGTGTAGGAATGTGTTTGTTTACATAACAGCATAATATAACATAATGGCATACTAGCATACTTTACTATGATATACAATTAAATCACAACATTTTTTAACCAAACAGGTATATTCTACAGGTTTATATTCATTATCTTCTTTAAATAATATAAAATTTTAATAAAATACAAGAACGAGACTAAAAAATCCTTTTATCTACAAATTGAATAACACAAAATTATTAAAGAATAAATTTTTTAATATATATTGCAAGACCTAACCTAAATTTTAACCTGTTCTTATTATTTGATAATCACTTACCTCTTCGTGATTTGGCGCCAGGATAATTCACCGCTTTTTCGCTTTCGGGAATTGTTTGTCGTGATTCGACACAAATGTCCTCGTATCTAACGTTCACCAACCCACTCCTTGCATAACATACTTGTTTCAACTCCACGATCGTTAAAATATCGAAAAAACACGCGATAATTCGTTCCTGCCGAATTGCGCGTTCGCGATCGACTTGTATTTGAAATAACATACATTACAATGTGAACCGTTCTTAAACACGAACAATGATGACGACGTTCACTGATCGACACCGGTGTCACGAATGCGATTCGCTTTTGTTTACTCTCTCTTTATGCCGTCAGCAGGTGGCGCACAAAGAAGGGGAATTTACAGTTATTTTTCTTTTATATAATATCAAGAGAATTTACAAATACAAAATATTTAGCAAATTCGATTTTTTGATACATGATCAATTTCAAAATATATCATGAAATTTTATATAATAAATATCTAAAGAAATGATAAATTTATTGTATTTATTTTTATCTTATACAATATAATATCTATACAATATCATAGATTTAATTATGTAATTTATAACTCAAAGTGATTAAATTACTGATTTATTTCTTGTTAAAAGTCTAAAAAATATAATATCTCATTATCTTTTTTTTTATTTTGTGTAAAGAACAATATTTATTTACAAAGTACAAGTATTTTAGACATATATGGACCATCAAGTTCGTATCCCATTTTTCGATAATAATTTCTTGTTCCAACACCTGAATAAAATCATATATAATGCTCTTATAATAATTTAATAATTTAAAATTAAATTATTTAATTTTTACCTGATATGACGGAAATTTTATGAGATCCATGTTCTTCCTTTGCTATCCGTTCAGCTTCTTCCATTAATAACATTCCAAATCCTTGATGCTGAAACTTTGTAGGATCGCGGGCATTTACTGGAACAACGCTACCATATACATGAAGTTCTCTCACTATTGAACATTTTTCTTTAAGTTCTGACCTATAATATACATTTTGTTAATATAATTTTTTAATATTCGTTAAATAATTTTAATGATTCTAATTCACCTAAACGTTTCATTTGAACATTTTCTAAGTCTTAGTAAACCAACTAAAATATCTTGAGTGGGATCTTCATAAGATAAAAATGTTTCCCATCCACCATTGGCAATATAATCACGGCGTATAAGTTCTACTTCATAAGGCTGTACTTTGTGATGTATTTCTTGAATACCCACTTCCCGAGTTCTAACATCACGACAATCGGTTCCCAAGTCTTTCATTCTTGCTAATGCCAACTCACGTAAATTTCCATGTTCCACGCCCGAGCTATGTGTTTTAGAATTAAATTTAATATATAACATATCATATATATAAAATATAATGCAATTACCTAACTAAAGGCATAGGTATATCTCTCTGTACACGATATACACGAGTCCAAGGCGGTATCAAAGACAATATTCGAGCAATAAGGTCCACTAAAACACTCGGTGGATAGCTTTTATATCTTCCTGTTTTCCATAACTCATATAAACCTGTACCTCGTATAACTAACGTTGGATAAATTTTCAATCCATCTGCTCTGAAAGCAGGATTTTCAAAGAATTCCTAAAATATATATAATTTCATTAATAAATTAAAAAAATAAAACATAATTCATTAAAAATATAATTATAACTTACAATGAACTGATTTATATCTCTCTCAATATCAACATTTGGTAAGTCTGGCATCATATGCGCTATTACTTTGAAACCAGCATCTTTTGATAATTGAAAACTTTCACATACTGCGCGAACTGTATGTCCTCTATTAGTATCTCGTGCTACATCTTCATATACAGATTGAACTCCAATTTCTAAACGAGTACACCTATTATATTTCAATATATAAATTTAAAAAAAATAGAAATATATTTATATATATAAATTATTATATTACACATACCCATAACGTAACATATCAGAAAGGTGTTTCTTAAGACAATAATCGGGACGTGTTTCTATAGTAATACCGATACATTTTGTACGACTTCGTTCAGAAAATTTTACTGCTTCATCGACATTGCTACTTACATGACCAGACAGAGCATCATGTAAATTTCGGATAAAATAATCTCTGTAATCTTCTGGCAGAGACATGAAAGTACCTCCCATAACAATAAATTCAATTTTGTCTACATTATGTCCCAATTGTTTTAACTGTAATAACATTTTAATCAATATTTGGATTAATTTAGAATAAATTAAATTAATATAAAATAATTTATATAGAAGTATTTAATAAATATTTTTACCTGTTCTACACGATGCCTAGTTTGTAGAAATGGATTATATCTTGCACGAATAGCTCTCATAGATGTAGGTTCATAACCAGTATAAGATTGTGTAGAATATTCAAAATCAGAATCAGGTCCTCCAGGACAATATACACAAATATTTCCTGTCATATTAATATGAGGACATCGATGAGGTTTGCACATTACAGCTACAACAGCTATCTATAAAAATCAAATTACTTAGTAAACATATTTTTTATTATTCAAAAGCATAATTTGAATATGTATTAATAATTTTTGTTGTTGCAATTAGAATTTAATTAAAATTATTATATAAATTATAATAAGGAAAATACTAACTCCACTGGCAGTTCTAATAGGTTTTGCTTTTAATTTTGGTATTAATATACTTCTTGCATCAACAGGAACAGCTGCTATAATGTCAACCAATCTTGGAGAAGTTTCTAACCCATATTTAGAAGCAATTCGTGTTTTTAATTTATTTAAATCAATATCTCTGTTTTCTTCATGTGCTTTTAATAGTTCTTGTATAATTTCTCCAATTGTCATAACCATACGTTCTTCTTTGCTTTGTTCAAATTCTAAAATTAAGCATACAGCATAAATAAAATTATAATTAAAATTATAAATAAGTAAAATTATCTTTCTAATAATAAAATAAAGTATATTATAAAATAAATTTATATATTTTTAAAAAAATTATTATAAATGTATTAATTTTTATAATAATGTTACCTTTTCTTTTTTTTACCATGATAATGTTTAATTATTTAAGATTACTAATAATGCAACTATTAATTCTTTTTGCAAAATATAAATATTTATTTGAATAAAATTGATTTTAGGTTAACTTCGATATCATAAATAAATCTAACCTATTATAACCTATTATAAAATAGAATAATGAATAATGAATAACCAATTTTCTTATTTATTTTAATCACTTTCGATATTATCAATTCAGCATTAAATAAGTATGCAATACTAGTAATGACATCTATATATTTGACTGATAACTGACTATAATAACTATGATATATGATAATTAGGTCGAATAAATTTTATTAAAATTTTTAATCAGTAAATTAAATAAAGATAAATAAGTTATAATAAAGTTAATTAGATATCAACATTGCTTATTCAGCATATAAATTTTATAAAAGATAATAAATATAATAAAAATATAAGGAGAATAACTCTAAAAATATTAGACTGATATTCTATTTCCAGTCTTGCCAGGATCCCCGATTGAAATTATGTCTCTGATTGAATTTCTTTTTTGTAAATCGGTTCCGATGATCAGAGATTTATCCTTTAATTCTTCCTGTATCATCAGAATGTAAGTCATTCTTCTGCTGTAACCTTCGACTGATCACAATTGGTGAATATCTGTCTGACGATTCTCATAAATCGCCAACGTAAATTGTGATATGATAGTAACTTGAATTTTGGTTTTCTTAAATTCTTCACTATTTTTTCTTTCTTGGATTTTTGCATTTCTTCTTGATTGATATTATTTTTAAATATTACATTAAATATTTATCTGTTTTTAAAATTTGTTTTATTATTGTTCAAATGCACTCAAGAAATGACATTAATTTTTAATATTCTTACCTTAACATGCTTTTGAAAAGATATCTTTGGCATTAAAGAGATGGCGCTGATAAGTAATTTCTATTTTATATCTATCCTTTTTTTATTACTTATTATTCTTATTATTTAATTAAATTATACAACAAATTATAAGTTAAATAAAAGGCTTGATTTTGATATTATTCTTCCATATATAATTATAAAATTTCTTAGAACTTTTAGATTTTTAAAAATTAGAGTAATTTTTAAAAATTAGAGTAATATATTTTAACAGACATGGATAATCATTTTTATGACCATTTATTTTTGATTTATTTTTGATAATACATAAAATATGGAATAAATATTACATACAAGAATGATGTCTGTAAGTTTGAGTATCAATTTACTTATTTATATTAATTTCTTATATATGAAATTCACATTTTTATTTTTAACATTCATTTCCATGCAAATTTTTAACATCATCTGTAACATTATTTTTAATATCCATGCAAAATACATATTTATTCAATGTAATCTGTAAGAGATTTTATTTCTTATTATAAATAAATCAGTATACATATGTTATGGATACATATATATTATATATACATATGCATATATTTATTTTATAATTATTATTAACAATATATAAATTATTTTATTTATTATTTTATAATTTTATTTTTTATAATTTATTTATTTTATCTAATTTTGTTTTTAAAATAATTACACATTATTCACAATTAATAAAAAAAATTTTCAATATCTAAACTTATTTTTATAAAAAAAATGTCTGTTATTATTTCAATAAATCTAATTCTCTTATGTTTTAGTACTTTTTTTGAGAAAAATATAATTTTGTATATAAAAAAGTAATTCTTTTTATCTAATGCTGATTTTGATCTTCATAGTAAATTAACATGAAAAAATGAATAAAATGATAAATATATAATCTTGAAATACAATTAGTCAAATATTCTATTTTAATAATTGAAAAACTTAATCTAATTCATATCTTTATATTTTATATCGAGCATTAACACCAGGATTTAAGATATTATATACTGAATTGAAATTCTAACATCAAAAACTATATCATTTCTAGTAAACTTATATGATTATTAAAATATTATTTTCAATTTCAATAATTTATTTATGATAAATAATAATTATCATACCGTTTTATTAAAAATAATTTACATTATCAGTATTGAAATTATCACCCACCGATTTTTAGATTGAATTGATTCAAGATCTGATCAATTTTAATAAATTTTTCAAGATCAAAAATATTGAAAAAATTCATCAACCTTTGTCTTTGTTTTCTGTCAATTCTTCATTAAGCTTTTTATGAACAGATTCCATATGATTTACGTCCACTTCAATTACAAAAATGGATGCGGGTGGTGTTTCTTCAACGTGATCTATTTCCGCCGGAAGAAGCGGCATTAAAGGTTTATAAGTTTGTAATTCCATTGAAGTAATATGAGAGGATGATCTCGAAATATTCGAATCAATCCTATTATTTTCAAATTTGTCACTTTCGTTTCGTTGAAATTCATTGCTATTTTGACTCACATTGTCACCTTCCTGTTTGTCACTCTGCGAAGAACTTGACGCATTTCCGGTTTCTTTATCTCGAATCGAAATATTTCGAGGTACGGATAACAATCCTTTTGATTTGACATCAGTTACCTATTATTAAAATCATCGATAAAATAAAATCGATAAAATAAAATATTTTTTTGTAAAAAATAAAAGAATTTTTGCGATCAAATGACAATTTTTATTAAAATTTTAAAAAATAATTTATTATTATTATATAGCATTAATAAAAAGAATGATTATATTATAAATTATTCAAACCAAATATTATCTCATTATATCTTCTTGAAAGTGCAAAAATTTTTATTCCCCAATTATTTCGACAATTCCAAAAAATTGAATAAATATTACCTGGCGCAATAAACTTGACGTCGGTCCTTTCGAAGATGATAATCCACCGATTTGTCTATGGTATTGTCTTTGAGAACCAACTAAGGAACCACGATCATGAATTACGCTAACCACACTAGATTTCATATCATTGTGTGGAAATAGAAGATTCCACATGAAGTTTTTAAGCGCTGCACGAAAGTCTTTCAGATGATAAGCATAGAGTAATGGGTTACCCGCCGAGTTTAAATGCGATAGAATTATACAAAAATTCATAACAACATCGTTTACCCTACACCATGGACAAAACGCCATCACGCAATTAATAGTATACAGTGGGATCCAACAGATGATGAAAAAGATTACAATGCGTGACAGATTCTGTGTCGCTTTTACTTCACGCTTCCTGGCGGCGCCAAGTAAACGTAACATGGTTCCAGTTGTTTGATTTCCGGTACGACGACCTGGATTCATGGTTACAATTTGTTGCAACTGTAAGAATATATTATAATAATAATTAATATAACTGAACAAAAAAATTTTAATAATTTTAATAATAGAATATATATAAAAATATATTATTTGCAAAATAAATAAATAAATAATTGCAATTTATTTAAAAGAATAAATAAAATAAAATAATAAATAGAATAATTTAAATATAAAATTTTAAGAATATTATATGTGTGTATTAAAAAAAAATATAAATTATATATTAACTATATATCATCATTATGAAGTTTATTTAATTATGAAAAATTTCTGCAAATTTAAAGTATTTATATAAAATGATGATATATGAATATTCAATTAATTAAAAAAGATTAATTTCAAGGATTAATGAATAATAATTAATGAAATCTTCAATAATTCATTGTTATGTTTGTATCGTATCCATATATAGCATATATATTGTACCGTATATTTGAAGTATCTGACCTGTTTTACGACCACTCGGTATATATGGGCGTAGAAGGCAGCAATTAATAGCGCGGGAAAAATGATCGTGGCGAAATACAGAAACACCAAGTAATCGTAATCCATCACTTCGGTAAAGATACATTTCTCGTTGGATTTCTTGCCCGCATTCCACCCTAATAGCGGTAGAAAACCAACTAATGTACCGGCGATCCAACATACGCAGATTATACCTGAAAGATTAAGATTATTAAATTATCAAGATCATTATTTCATTATTTTAAAATATTATTTTAAAATATTATTTATTCTTGGAATTGATTTAGAATAATAAAACGTACAATACTAAAATATTAATAATAAAATATTAGAAATATGTGTTTTTTAAATCAATTTCTTTATTAATACAATCTTTTTAAGGTTAGTTTTAAGTCAATTTCTTTTTATTGATATACGATTCTTTTTTTCATATAAATTTCTGAAAATATTTAAAATCTTCATTTTTATGTGCACAAAGTAGGATATTTTGGATAAAAAATGGAATGATTTATAAGATTCTGGAGCAAAAATATGAAAAGTCGGTCAAAAGATTCGATGATAGAAGTGCATGTTATCGATTGGAAAGCATGGCAATAAACGCACCTTTTTCCTTCGTTGGAGAGATGGTATCAGTCAGCAAGCTCATAATTAAAATCACTCTCACCATAAATAGGCAAAATGCTTAAATTAATCATAGTTGAATAATCTGATAGTGAAATAAGAAATATCTAACTGGACCAAATTATATTTAAAAACAGACTTCAATAATATTTTTCTATCAATGCCTAATTACTATTTTTATTAATATTTCAAAATTTCGATTTGTTTTTTTTTTATGAATATGATATTATCTCCATAGAAAAAAAATGCGATTTCCATCAATTTCGTCATAAAGATAAAAGAAAATCCTTTGGGAAATCGAACAGATGGGTATTTCAAGTATATTTCATACTCTATGGAATATGTTGCATTATCGGAATGCAAATGGAATTTTTTGAATTGCTATACTAATTATATAATTAATATATAAATTATTTGTTGTGGAATCAATACATTATTATCTACTTTTATAAATTTATAAAAAAAATGCTATATATAAAGATAGAATAGCGATTTTTAAATAAGATTTATAAAATATACTATATAAAAATTATTTTGTCCGAAAAATTTTATTTTTAAATTATGAATATTAATACAATTATCTCAATTTTGAGTTCAAAAAAAATGATGATCTGTTATGATTTGTTATTTGGCAAAAGAATAATGGAATTTAATATTGATATTCAATAATTTCTTTCTTAAAAAATTTCTTTTTTGAAAAAAGTTATGTTATTAAATAAGTTAAATTTAAATAAGTTAAACTTTTTTGAAAAAAGTTTCTTCTTTATTATAAATTATTAATTATGATAAGGATTATATAAAATTCAATTATAAGAAAGATATTTAAGAACAAGAATTATATTGATAATTCATTACACAAAATTCATTAAGTAATTATAAAAATATTCGATATAAAAAATGCATTAATTAATTTTAAATTAAATTTTTCAAGAATATCTATAATAATCCTATATTATTAAAATATTTTACATAGCTTAATATAGTCATTATTGGCGTCTGAGATATATTTTATTATATTTCATCGATTGAATTTCATGGAAAATTATAACATAATTTTTTTGAAAAAAGAAATAGCACAGATAGAATAAATAAAAATTCGTTTGAATATAATATAAAAAACCATTTCCAATTTGTATTCTTAACAAAATTATAGTTAAATTGAGATTAGAATTTATAACAATAGCTTCTAAGAATACATCTGAACAATGTTGTCTAATCAGTACTGACACAAATTGATGTTCTGTATTCTAATATAATGGAACGTGATAGAAATTCCTTATCATATTACTTATTGTAACTGTATGTTAATATTATTTTGTAAAATTTCGTTTCGAAATATTTAACTTCACATAAAGTTCAATGATTTGTAAATAATGTAAACTTTTTTATAGTTAAAATATAATATAGTAATTTTGTAAAATTTCGTTTCGAAATATTTAACTTCACATAAAGTTCAATGATTTGTAAATAATGTAAACTTTTTTATAGTTAAAATATAATATAGTTAAAATATAATATACATATTTTTTAAAAAACAGTATGTATATCTTTTATATTTACTATATATGTAATTTTGAATTTTTTTGAAACGTATATATAATTAATTTAATAATTAGTTTAGTAATTTATATTTTTCCAGTTACTAATCATTTAAACGAGAAAATTGTTTTTATATAAATTGAAACGCTCGATGTTGATGAAAAAAACAATATTTGAGATATATGGAGAATCGTGTAACAGGTGCTTTGCAAACAATTTCACAAAATATAATTACGTAGCTCATCACGATGTTATTTTATTGCAGCTCGATTAAAACGGTTATGCGTGCCATGCAGAATGTTTCTAGGAAGAGGTGATTTTAATTGGATTATCGCATAGCATAACGACATTGACACGAGAAACAAGTTTGTCGTATTTGCTATACACTTCTCCGAACTTTTTGCGGACTTGCTCAATTATTGACTCTTACTACTTATGTGTTAGCGATTATATGATAAGTATTTTCTTAAATCATTTAATTTAAACAAATTTTTTTTTAAATATTTTGAATTTCATTAATGCTTATATTTAATTATTATTAATAATTAATAATTATTATTAATGTTTATATTTAAATAAAAAAATAAACAAACAAAACAAAATTAAATATTTGTCAAATATGGAAAAATTTTATTTATAATTCTTCTAATTAATGAAATGTTTCAAGAAATTTTTTGATATTGATGATTAATTTTTTCTCATATTTTATGTATCAAGTTCATATATTGATTTAATATATTTTTTAATTGAAAGAATAAGAAATCTGAAATCAATCAATTTTAATTTTTTTTTTAATAGTTCTATTGTTATGAAATTAAAACTTAAATTTGAACTTTTTGACTTAGAAATTATTTATTAAGATTAATTATGCAATTATATAATTTATTAAGATAATTATGAATAATTATGAAATAATTTTTAATTAGAATTCTAAAATTTAAACCAATGATCAGTTTAAGTTCATCGCTCTTACTATTTCTTACCTATGGCAGTTTTAGTTCGTACAGTGCGGGAATATCCCATGGGATGAAGTATTGCCCAGTAACGATCTACAGACACCGCCACTAGACAAAAGATACTGATCGTACAGAGAACAATCAATACAGAAACGGTGAATAAGCAAGCATGTAAATTCTTCGGTAAACCAATGCTAGCTAAAATAGCAAAAGGTATTGCGAACAATCCGACCAAAAGATCAGCTGTGGCCAGAGAAATAATGTAATAATTAGTTCGTCGACGAAGTTTTTTCTCTTTGCTGAAGACTATGATTACCAAACCGTTACCAAACACTGCACACACTGCCACCAAGATCTCGCAAACTGTATACGGTAAATTAAGTTCTGAATGAGTTGATGCATTTAGAGCTGTTACAGTCAAATTATTGGCCAACTCACTAATATTTGATGGAAATTCCATCACGATAAAATAATACTCTGTAGACAATCGTCATTTACCTTTTACTCACTGATTCGGATAATTAACTCACTGATTCATTTATTTATTAATTATTAATTATTGAAAGTATATTAATCATATATAGATAATAGAGATTAATTTTTAATATTTTTATTTAATTTATCATAGTTTCATAGTTTATATTAAATTCATGATAATTTGATATTCATTTGTTCTTTCCTACGGATTTATACGTATAAAAAGATTCGTAAATGGAAAACGCAGAGTCGCGTGACCAATAATTCTTATAACATTTTTAATGAATCCTTTTAATTTCTGTGAACAGAATATTTGATATGCCACACGAGTTTGTACCATTTCTTTAAATAATTTCTATATTCTTAATATGGAATAAATCACAAATGGCATGTCGCATATATTTGAGAAGAAAATTGATCATCGATATTTTTTTGCTTTTACTTTTTTGCTATAACAATTTTTTGCTAATACAAAAAATTTCCACAGAAATCATTAAATGATCATGTCATTAATTCAATAATAGTTAATTCATTTTATTTTAGATATTTTATTTTAATAGAAAGATACTAGCACATATAGGAAGATGGAAAAAGAAAGCTTCTCCATTTATCTATATGAACGTGTTATAAAAGTTAATAAATTTTATACCATTTTTCGGTCAACAAGCTTTCTGTTCATACCTCTGTTATGCCATTCAAATGATGTATCAATTCATTAGAAATATAATGTTTCTATAATTCTCTGATATATATAAGAGAAATATATATAATCTAATATATAATCCCGAATCAAATATATTTAAATTAAAAATATAAAATATCAAATTTCATGAATTATATTTTTCTATGATTATTATATTTTTAAGTAAAAATATTTCAAAATATTTGAGTGGAAATCATGAAAAATCACAGAATTCATTATATCAATAATTCTATTTCTCAATCTTCTTTCAAAATGACAAGTGGAAGTTATGTATAATACAGAACTTAAGTTGTATCTGTCTGTTATGTTGTGTAAGTTTGTTCAATGAGACTTCAATTCTCGTTATCTTTGTCCAGAATTAATAAAGCTTTTCAACTCGGGTAATTTCTTCCACAGGTAATTTAAGGTATCAGTGAGTAACTACGTTCTGTCAAAGAACAACAAATCGTCCATTGAGAAACAGGATGACCGGAAATCACGGGTTGCAAATGATCAAGTTCATTGAATAGAGTTCAACCACGTTTTGGTCGCGTATTTGCAAAGCTTATCATACAACATCATCTTCTAACCATGTTCATCAGAAGGTAATTTTAGTTTCCGGTGATACGCGTGCTTTTGATTATATTTTTAGCCATATTGGATATTGAGGTCATCAACATCATAAATTCAAAAAATATTCCTTCGTTTTTTAAATATTAAACAGTTTCAAAGTTCCTATTGTTGATTGTTCAAAAAATTGATTTGTCAATTATGTATATTCTTTTATGTAAATTCAATGAATCTTCTTATCACTTCAATTAAAATCATGTAGAAAAAATAATTATGATAATTTGAATAATTTAATTGATTAAATTCCTTTTTATTTTTTTCTTTAAATCGAATATAAATGTCATTCAAACTAACTAAATTCTATTTTTTACTTTTTTATGAATTTATTTTATAATAAAATATTTCTGAATATCTATCTTTTATTTTTATTTGTAAATCTTAATTTATATATAACATATATTTAATATGTTTGAACGCCAGCATTTTTATCTCCAGTTTACAATAGTTTTATTCTATTAAAATGCATTACATTTCAAACAAAAAAAATTTCTTTTTAAAAATGCTTTTTTATTTTAATATTCAATATTCTTCTCTATTTTTTATTTCACAATTATTAAAAGATAGTCTTTGAGAAGAAAAATAGATTAAAATTTTAAACTTTATAATCATGCAAAGATTCTATTTTTAAAAAAATTAAAAATTAATAAAGATAAAATTAGTAATGATTACTTCAATCTTTTTTTGATGACAAAAAAATTATTGTTAAATTGATGTGATAAATTAAAATTATATAGAACATCAAGTTTATTTATAAAACTACTAAACATTCAATTTAAAACATTTCTCAATATTTATTTTAAACATGCAATAAATATTATTTATAAATAAATTTTCATATTAAATTTTATAATTTTTATTATAATTTTATAAAAAAAAAATTTGGTTCTATTGATTTTATAACTAGAAGAAAAGAGATTAAGAACTTAAAATCCAATTCAAAATATCTAAAGTGATGTTAAAAAAAATAAAAGTCATCGTAAATAATAATAAATAATGATAAAGAGTATTTTAACATCATTATATATTTGTCGATACTATATTCTAAACTTTTACGTTTATCTTTATTTATAGAGGATTAACATATCACTTGTTTATTATCATTATAGCCTCTATATAATATTTTAAATAAAATTTACTTAATATATTATTTTAAGATTTTTAATATAATTTTTTTTTAAAACATAATTTTTTATTTTATTATTACGAAAGAGTACTTAATTCATATTTTAAATAACAATAAAAATTCGCGGATTTCAATTAATCGAATATTTAAAAGAACACCGATTCGATATCATTCGATAGCCAATCAAAGTCACGCAGATCTTCACTGAACCAATCAACGTCAATCAATAACATCGCGCGCTTTTTTCCGAGGCGTCATAAATCAATCGGTCATCGACGCTTATGTGATGTGCTTTTCTAAAAATACGAGTTAAATAAAAAAAATTAGACGATCATAAATAAAACGCATCCAGGGAACGCGTCCGTCTTCTCAACCCCGTGGCGCGTAACTGAGTTTCTTCGTGATACAGGAACGGTAGTGGTGGAGGTGGAATAGACGCGGTTATAGGTTATGGCGGTAGTGGTAGACCAGAAAAGAAAATTGGCAATTTTATGTTAATGTTTCTGTGTTTCATTTAAATTGATTTCATATTGAAATAAATTCTTTGAAAATGAAGGTAAAAATTTAAAAATTTAAAATATTAAATTATTATATCTTATTTATAACAATTATATATATTTTCATTATAATTCATATTGAATTTTCAATATGTGTTAAATTTTAAATTTTAAATTTTAATAATATATTTTTATCGAATCTATTTGAAGCATTGATAAACATATAATAAATATATATGTTTTTTATATGTTTTTTGAATTATTTAATATTATTTAATATTCTTATTTAATTTTTGTTTAAAAAAGCTTTAATTTATAATTAATCATATATTCGAATTATTGGTTATTTGCTGCAGTAGCATTTCTTCGTGAGCATCTTACGAGATTTAATTGGATAAGCGTGCTACGAGTGAGAATTCAATGATTTGTCTATATGTATAAGTGATAAAAGTCGACGCATATGAAATATACTATATAGATGTAAGTATGTGAGATAGTTAGTAAGTAATAAGTAGTACAAATTACTTTAGTATCCTCTCGACAAAATTAAGAGTTTTATTCCGTCTCTGGAACTTTTCATGATACTTTGAATTCTTTGGCACGAAAATCTTTATATTTTTTTCCCTTTTGTTAATGTGATTAAATGTTTCAACTATAATTCATATAATGAACATTACATTTTAAAAAAACTTGTATATATTTTCTTATTATTAGAAAATCATTGTTGAAAATATGAGACAGCATTAAATCCCATTAACTTAAAGAATGTTTTTTTAATAGATTTTAATTATAAAAGGAATTTGTTTTATTGGAACATAATATTTTTACAATAACTATTGTATTTTTTTTTTTTGTTATTAAACATTATGATATTTCTTTTTCTTAGGAAAATTCTAAAAAATAATCAATGTAATTAACTATACGCATGCGTGTTATACATAATAATGACGAAAATAGAAAACTCTATTTCTTTTTTAACACTTTATTTATAACACCATCTTTCTATTTATATCAGTACAAAAGCCTCTGGAAATCATTTTATTTGAATCATCAGATTCTACGAGGCATTATCCATTCCATTTTTTAAATAGAAGAGATATGATTATTCATATTAAAATAAAAAAAAGTACAATTATATTGAATTAATGTTTTTTTTTTAATTCAATCATATATAATTAATTGAAACATATATACATGTTTAGAATATAAATAGAATATAAATTATAGAAATAAACTATTTATTCAATATTTTATTAATCGAATCAAAAGCAGGTATTTGTTATTTCATTCGATATGAGATAGGATCGGATTACTACCAAGGCTAACTAGACAAATGGATCTACGCATTTTTCGTTCTCCCTTTCGTGCAAGGTGGTTATATCCCTTATTTGTACGTGTATACGTCGTAAGTTCGTTTGAAGTGAAAAATTGGATTTCTCTGCAAGTTTCTAAGAATTCAATTTTATAGCAATATATATATATATATCCTTCGTGATTGATTTCCTTCTATATAATAAAGTTGAAAAATAATATAATTTTTCCAAAATATTTTTTATACTTTTTATATTTTTATATTTTTTAATTTTCTCTTAATTACTATTTTAATGATTATAATACATAATACGGATTAAATCGATATGAGAAAATTTTTAAATATAATAAATAATTTCAGTTTCATTCTAATTTTTACTTAATAGATATAAAAGATGCATAATAGATCATTGACATCACATAAAAGGATTATAATTGTGTCGCGAAACTGAATGAATCATGACTAGACAATAACATCAAGAATGTAAGTTTACATTAGGCTAAACCGCAGACACGTTACACTATTGTGGGTAATCATATATTCATATTATTAAATATTTAATGACTTAATGCTACTAATGCGATTAAAAATACAGAAACTATAGAATCCAATAATGTAAATATGAATTTTTTTATCAAATGATAAAATTTAAAAAAAAAATTAACGATTTTTTCTAATAAATTTTTTTATATTTTAGAGAGAAACATTTTGGTATCTTGAAAACCTGCAATAGATTTACAATTAATTAGTTAATAAGTTAATTCAATTGACTTCATTGTATAGCATGTCTTATATATATTACATACTATATGTATAGTAATTAATTTGGTGTGATAGCTCGGGTAGTTTCCAGGTAGGGGACAAAAGTTGTTAGAATCTTGTGATGAATAGTGGAATCCAATTAAAAAGATATGTAGTTTTTTCATATAGTATACGTTTAATATAAAATTTACTCAATATATAATAACGCTATATATTAACATGATATAAATACATATTTAATTAAAGAATTATCTTAAATTTTTTTTTTAAGTATATCTTGTAAAAAAAAGAAAAAATCGATATGAGATGGAAAATAATTATTAATTATATATATATATGTTTCTTTTATCTGGAATATTTCTGTTACAATCCAATATTAATTTTCCAAATCACAATATCAACGTTAACGAACCCTGTCGTATTTGTGCTAAGCTATATGCTTTGATCGACAGAAATGATCAGTTATCTGTATGTGATATTGATTAAATAATAACTACTCTAGTAGCATTCGTAGCCACTAGATTTGAAAAGTTATTTATTACTTCAATATCGTAAATTTTAATTACTTGTATTAATTTCTGTAAAATTTAAGATTTTAAATAATTTTTACAAATTGAATGTATTCTTAATCTTAATCTTTACAAATTGTTTTTAATCTTTAATTTTAATGTAATTTAATATTATTTATTATTTAAAAAAAGGAAAAATAAACATAAAAAGAAAAAATGGTTTCCATATGTTTAAAGAAGCATATTTTTAATTATTTTTTTTAATTATATTTAATATTACAAAAAATAATTTGTATATAATTTATATTTGGAATTACATGTCAATGAATATATGTTAATTTTTATTCAATATAACAATTTTAAGCTGATCAATTCATAGAAAATGACGTATTATTCGTTCTAATTATATTTCTGTTCGATTGAGTCCATGGTTCTAACATTGCTCGTATTATTATATATATGAACCATATAACAAAAACAAATCCAAGAAATATAAAGATTCCATAACTGTAAATAAATTGATATTATATGCTCTTAATATTAATTATCAAAATAACTAATATAACATTGATTAAAAATATTAATTAAGAATATACTTTGTAAACCAAGTAATAAATGATCCAAGACTTATGGGTACAAGTAAGCTATAATTAGCTAGTGGTCGCAAACTCAATCGAGGTGGAATACGTTCCTCATATCCGCAAGAAAGTCCATTTTGCGTTCGTTTTGGTAACTTCACAATTTTTGTTGGTGGTTGTAATATTTGTCGATAAATGTTTCCGAAAAAACCACTTTCATGGTACATTCTAGTTATCTTGTGCCGATACTATTCAAAATATATGATTACAATTATAAAAATGTTTAAGTTGAAAATTAAAATAATTATTTGATGATTTTTTTAATATATTATTGAAAGGATTTTTATTGAAAGGATATTTACTTTTATGTTTATATATGTACAGAGTTTATAAAAATTCCTAACAAGTAATGCACATTCATTACTTCGAATTGGTTGTAATTCTGGATCACCCATATATTCGATATATTGACATGTTTGTCTATCTTTTTGAATAGGTACAAACACACCTGGTTTACTTGTATCTAAACTAGAGTCCATCTAAAGAATTAATAAGTTAAAACTTTTCTATTAATAACAATTGACAAACAATTTTTTTTTATACCTGTGATTGACTGTGATAAAAAGATGTTGATAAAATGCTTTCATGGTATTCTTCATCAGCTTCAATAGCTACCTGGGGAATGTCTTCTACTTTAATCTAAAAATTCTATTTATTAAAATCAAATCAAATTATTAAAATCTAAAAATATTTTTCGTTTTTTATTACCTCGAAGATTTCAATTAATTGTTGCTGTGCATTTGCTAAATAAATAGGAACACGACGTCTTTCTTCTATACTAACATCATCTGAAGAATAATCCTCGCCATAAAAGAATTCCCATAATGCTAAAAAAAATCGTCTACTTTTTCGTTTCTTTTCTAATGCATCGATTAAACTGGTTGCTGTTAAATATGCTTGTTTAATTGTGCTTAATAGACATACGACCTAA